AGTCATCAAGATGATCGAGGGACAGTGCATGAACATGTTACATCCACTTAATCCAAATCCCTGGCAGGCCATTTGCCGATCCCAACAACTCCTTGGCTGCCCTTGATTTCTGATCATATTGTGACCTTAGAGAAGGATGATGTGATGGACCTCCAGTGTGTGCTCCTGCCCTTTGACGTCCCCTTTTGGCATTGGTTGAAGAGTCCAAACACACGCACGCATAATTTTGGTGTAAACCTCCGTTTAATTTTGGATGGCCTGATCCAGTCCAAGACAGAACAAATTTTCATCGACTTCTTCCTCTCTTCCCCTTTCAGCATGCTTCCATCTTGTGCCGCAGCCGTGGAGAAGACCTTTGAGTGGACGATGGAGTTGTGGGAATCCATCAATTATACCCATTTTCTCCGCCTCAAAAGCCCCACCTCGGGGCTCCTTGAACCTCCCAAGCTGGATCTGGAGACGCAGCAGGGGGAAATTTTTCAGGTGGACAAAGACTTCTTGAAGGTAAGTGTATTGGAAACTACCAGTGATTGGCTATTTCGTCAGCCTTCTGCGGGGTTGGTGAAGCTTGATGAAACTTTCTACAGCTCTTCCATTGGTCCCAATGGGACCTTTGCGGTGGACTTGAAGCTGGAAGTGAACCCTGATGCACTTCCCCTAGATGCAGAAAATGTTAATGTGACACTGCAAGTGAAGTTTCCCCAGAAAAGGAGCCCAACGGTGTTTTCCGTGATAGTTCCTATGAACAACACAGGAGTACCAGCTGAGGGCGAATCTTTTCCCATGTTGGTGATTTGGTTCATTGTGTTCTTGATGCTGATCTTTCTGGTGGCCGCCGTGGGCTATGTCTACCGGGATGAAGTGGCACAAAGTTTCTTCTTCCCAACGGTCCCAACGTCCAGTGAAAGGCACCGAAGCTCCATCGAGCTGCGGAGAACTTGAGCTGGGAAAGTGTGAGTCGTTTTTGGTTTCGCAGCGCCATGATGGACTTGGGTTTTTGGGACACTTCATTTCAGACACCCAGCAAATTGATGCAAATTGCTGGTACAACAAAATGGTCCATGTAAAGTTGTCAGGCTTATCTTCAACCAATCACGAAAGGTAGCGTCAGCTATCTGAGTTAATGTGTGTTAGCACAGGAGCGGTCCATGTGTACTTCATAGTCATGTTTTGGGAGCAAGTAGGAAATCTTTACTTGGGGCCTCCCCCCAAGTTGCAAATGGTGCAACTGAATCTGACGTCCCAGGCTGAGATGGAAGATGAAAGTCTCCGAAGGAGCTGATTCCTGCAGTGAGATATAGCTGGGGTTCATGGATCCCAAAATTGGGAAAATCATAGGTTTTGACAAAAAGATCCATTTCTGTTGGGAAACTTTGGAAGATGCGAGAATGGAAGCTGAACAAAAACAGACCACAGACCAAGAACAGGAACCTTGAAGAATTTAGAGTCAGTCCTTATGTTTAAGTATGTTTAACTAGCACATTATGGCCTAGATGTTGGTCCCCCAGAATCGGACAAAATGAGCTACCAAGCTACCGAAATGGGATTCTTCGAGAAGCCCACGATTGCGTGATTTGGCATCAAAAGGGCATGAGTCGAAATTGAAGGCTATGGGACCAATCAATTTAGATCATTTTTGGTAATTACTATAGACACATCACACTCCTTTTGTATCCCAATTTCACCTTGTACGCTTGAGTTTCTGCAAATACAGGGCAAAATCCCATGGGGTTTTCCATGGCGTAACGCCGCTTTCCCATGGCACCCTTTTCAGGAACCGTGTGGTCTTGTTCTACGAATCCAACCTGCAGGAGATGCAGGAGAGATTTAGCAACGCGATTGCTGCGACCAACAGGTCTGATGCTTCGAAGTATAGTACCACCCAAAAAGATTGAAAAGTCAAACCACTAAAATCACACTAAAATAGTGAGGGTTTTCTTTTCTATCTTTTTGAGACTATGAAAAAAACACCGAGGCTTGTGGTTGGGTGTACCCCATGTGGGATGGACAACGACCCCAAATGGTTGGTTACTGGCTTTCCCACATTATGGCATTCGGTGTCAGTACTTCTGAACCAGTCCATGTTGAAACACTTAGGATCCGCTGGGCTTTGATTTTAAGCGTAGGTGGCACCGATCATTGAAGACAAATTCAAGCAAATGGGTAGAATGTGATTAGCCTTGGCAACATATTAGCGAATGCAGATTCCAGTGTTTTGCAGGTTCTTCACCCCCGTTGCGAAGTCAGCATTTTTGCGAAATCAGCGGTGAATTTTTCGTCTGAGGAGCTGAAGGATGCCATGAGCGAATTGGGCGCCAAGTTGGTTCAGGTGGATTTCTTGGGAGATCATGATATGGGACCTACCAAAAAATATGGAGGTTCCTCTAATTTTTGCAAAACCACTTCCAATTAATTTCTGGAGGCATTTTTTCTAGTGAAATATATATATATATAATATTTTATAATCCATACATCTTAAATAGTTCCAAGGAAGTGACCCACGACGTGGAATTTTCGCTCTGATGTTTTTGGATTTCGTCCACGCAGCTTAGAGTTGGAAGCTTTTGTTGCCCATTGATCTCCCCTGTGGAGATATCTTTTTTTTCCATCCCCAATTACTGTATGGTCCAGAAATGCCCAGAAGAAGGGGCCGATTTACTGAAGAATCCTATACCCTTTGTCAAACTAACATAGCAATGGAAAATCATCATTTTAAAATCTAAATCCACTGTGGCAATTTTCTCTAGCTATGTTAATTTACTAGAGGGTAAAGCGGGTATGCACAATTTCATAAACCAGTACTATTGGGATGGTGACTATGATTGTGGATAATGCGCACATGATTCACGAATGGATATTAATTGAGGTATACCTTATAGTATCCATTGTTATTCTGTGGGTTATCATGCCATAACCCACGTTTTCCCCTTATATAACTAGGCAACTACTGATGTATATACATATATATATATATACACCATATCAAATCATATAATATCATATAATATCATGTAATATTATATACCATCATATCATATCATAGAATACAATATATAAGCCATATACAACTGGATCAACTGCGTATGATTTTCCGATCCCCTGGGTCCGACGTGCAGGGCTCGGGGCTGGTCACTGCTGCTGCGGTGAATTGTGGGAAGTCGGGGGAACCGGCGCTGGAGGGAGCCATTTGAAGCCATGGCTATCAGGGTTGCTCTAAGTCATTTTAGGGAAATGATAGCCATAAGGGGGTCAATGGGTCATTTTACCGCTGAATTTACACCATTTACCCTCCTTGTACCTGTTTGGAACAACCCTGTTTATATGGGATTATGTGGGATTTTAAGGTGATTTAATGGGATTTAATATGGTAAAGCCAATAAATGTCCAAAAATAAGGCCACCATGATTGGGGAAAAATTCAAATCCCACCCGTAAGAATGGTGATGACTTGGGTTTGCCACATTGTAGGGACATGTGGTGAAGACTAATTACAATTAATATGATATCAAAAGATATCATATCTTATGATGTCATATAATATAATATGATATACCACAAAAAATATAATATAACATAACTAGATACAATATAATACAAAATATCATTATGCAATTCATAACACAAAGTATCATAACATAACATGATACAATACTGTATTTAAAACATATACTGTAACAATAAAATACATGATATAATACTTGATATAACATAACATACCATAAGATAACATGATATAACATAACATAATATAATATAATATACTATGATATAATATAATATGATATAATGTAATATAATATAATATAATATAATACAACAGAATATGATATAACATATGTTTTGATTTGATATAATCTCATACAATAAAATCAAATAAACATTAATGACATTATATCATAACATAAAGCACATTATATTATAGTATAAAATGAAAAAACATACTTTAATATACTATGTTATAATATATTACATTATAATACTATATTATAATATATTGAATTAGATTATACTATGATATGTTATCATATAATATAATATGATATAATATAATATAATATAGTATAATATATATAATATAAAATAAGTATCATATAATATTATATAAGATGAGATAAGATAAGATAATATCATGTAATATAATATGATTTAATATAATATAATATAACATAATGTAATATATAATATAGTTTTGCTTTAGATGTCAATATTCAAATATGTTGAATCCTCTCACGTTTTCTGATGGTGGACTGGTTGTTTCAATATCGCCTCCATCCAAATAGTTTTCTGATTCCTTTTCCCATGCAAGGCATTTCAATGTCCTCCGGGATTCTTGCATGATGGCTCTATCTTAAAACTCTGACAGCGTTGGTTGCTGGTTGCGTCACCTTCCGCCATGCTTCAAGGTCCGAAGGTATCTGCCAGAAGCAAGGAATCAAGAAACTGCCCGAAGTCGTGCCAGAACCTCAGATGCTGAGTGCTGCTGTGCCGGTTAGGCAGCGACTTGCTGGGTGTGACATGATGGGATGGCCAGATCACTTGTAGCGCAAATTTAAGAGCTGACAGGATGAACTGTCCCAAGATAGAGCTTCATCCTGCAGATCTTGGTTGCTTGGGGTTGAATCATCCAGCGTCATCGATAGGAGATCCGCTGCATAAAGTAGATCCAAATGGTCAAAACTCCAGAGAACCAGCATCCTCCAGTGGATCATCCAGCGGTGAATCCGGAGGGTTTGTTGCTTCGATTCCCAATACCCTCGGGTTAAACGGCACTATGGAAAATAACCCATTTATAGATGATAAACATGATGATTTGATATGATTTGCCTATTAAAAATGTTGAGTTTCTATAGCTACATTTCATCCCCATGATTGCTAGGTATGTCCCTCTTAAATCGCAAGCACCTATGAGGTTGTAGTGGCCACAGTCGATCAATTGGCCTCCAGCCGAGGTACTACGGACCTGAAGGAATGCAGCCCAACAGGAAGACCCCCCAGCCCCCAGCAGCCGTTTTGCAATCAACACTTGGTCCTTTTTCATGGGGAAACCAATGGTTTTGGGGTCCACCAGTCTTGTTGGACACCATCATTTATGGACATTTCTCATTTGAAGAAACAACAATCTTTTATTGACACCATCATTTATGGTTCCATTTAGGAAACAATATTTGAATTTGACAAAGATGCTGATTTCGCAACCATCATTCAGCCAGTGTATCATTTTGTAAAGTCATGGCGGGCACCGAGAATGGGGATGAACACCCAACTCCCAGCCATGGGGCTTGACTCATCTGCCGTGAAAGTCCGGATGCCCAAAATATTCCAGAGATATTTCTTTATCATCCCATATATAAGTGGGATATTAATGGATATTCAGGGATATTCCATATATTTCCACATATATATATATATACATATGTTTATATAAAACTTTTTTTTTTCACTCATGTACTAAGTGGGGCCCGCACCCCCAGAGATCGCCGCCAGCATCCTGGCTCGAAGATTGGAATTTGAAATTTCCAGTTGACGCCTGGAGCATTGCTGTTCCCTTCGCAGCCTGGACGCCTGGCTCACCCCTGCTGATTTTGAGCCTTGGGGCCCTCAGAAGTAGAATTGATGGAACAGGATCTCAGATGATCTCAGATCAAACTGGCAGAGGGTGGGTACTTGCCGATGATGCTCAGATTTTCGCATTTGCTGCTGATAGTTTCAGTGGGCCCACCGTGCTAGCGATTGCACCCACGGTAGATGTCATTGTTCTTTACTTTTTTCCCCACCTGCCAGGTGAGGGTTGTTAGATTTTATGTCAGTTGCCTCCTCCTCCTCCTCCTTTTCCTCCTTCTCCTCCTCCTCCTCCTCCGCCTCCTCCTGCCTCGTCCTCCTCTCCTCCTCCTCCTCGTCCTCCTCGTCGTCCTCGTCGTCCTCGTCGTCCTCGTCGTCCTCGTCGTCCTTGCTCAACTGCGACCCGCGATCCACAGTGTTCTCTGCCGGACCTCAACCACGATCATCCACGCCCAGTGTTCCCTGCCGGACCTCAACCACGACCATCCACGCCCAATGTTCCCTGCCGGACCTCAACCACGACCATCCTCGCCCAGTGTTCCCTGCCGGACCTCAACCACGACCAACCACGACCATCCACGCCCAGTGTTCCCTGCCGGACCTCAACCGCGAGTATCCACGCCAAGTGTTCCCTGCCGGACCTCATGTAGGAGGATATGGGACAAAGAATGTGCAGAAGAAAGTTAGAAAGAATGTCAGAAAGAATGTCAGAAGATATGCCAGAAGATATGCCAGAGGATATGCCAGATAGAATGCCAGATAATATGCCAGAAGATATGCCAGATAGAATGCCAGAAGATTTGCCAGATAGAATGCCAGAAAATATGCCAGAAGATATGCCAGATAGATATGTCAGAAGATATGCCAGATAGATATGTCAGAAGATATGCCAGAAGATATGCCAGAAGATATGCCAGAAGATATGTCAGAATATATGCCAGAAGATATGTCAGATATAATGCCAGAAGATATGTCAGAATATATGCCAGAAGATATGCCAGATAGAATGCCAGAAGATATGTCAGATAGAGTGCCAAAAGATATGCCAGATAGAATGCCAGAAGATTTGCCAGATAGAATGCCAGAAGATATTCCAGAAGATATGCCAGATCATATGCCAGAAGATATGCCAGATAGAATGTCAAATAGAATGTCAGAAGATATGTCAGATAGAATGCCAGAAGATTTGCCAGTAAGAAAATGTATAAATGTCATGGTGGGGATCACACGAAGTAAAGTATTTTTTCTTGACAGATATCAGAAGGACTCAGATTTCATAATGTATACATGAATATAATCTATATGAATATCTACATGATCAGAAATATTACACTATATATATACACGTATTTGAACACAAAAGTACATATGATAATATGGGTGTATCATCACTGCGGCCGACCAGGCCATGTCCGACGTTGTGGATCTGCTGGAGGCCGCTTTGGCCAGTTTCTGTTCAGTTGCGAATAGATCCGTAATTCCGAGACATCAGTAGTATTTGAATAATGGAAACACAGGGTGTTTATCTCATAAAACAACTTTTAAATCCATCTTCCAAAAAGTCTATAACGATGTTCTTTCTATCAAGTTTTGGTTTTCATCATTAAAACACTATGATGTCATGAATTCCACCATGCGGTTTTCCTTTCCAAACACATCCAGGACTCTCCTCCTCGTGCGGAACATGTGCCTCCCACGGATGATCAGCTGAGACAGGCCCTGGGGCCCTGGATGAATAGGTTTTGATGTGACATGTGACATTATATGATATATATATATTGTATACTATGTGTAATATATTATAATATATTATAATATGTATATGTGTATACTAGTATACTATGAATATTATATATATAAACATATACATAGTAGACAATAGTATATTGCAATGATGACAATGATAATAATGATAATAATGATAATAATGATAATAATGAAAATAATGATAATAATGATGATAATGATAATAATTATAATAACAAAAATAGGAACACACAGACATGTATATATATATATGTATATGTATATGTATATATATATATATTTATATTCACATAATGATATATATAATATATTGTATGTATATGTATACATGGACATCATGAATATGTAAATACATATATAAGACATACGATAGGTGTTAGTTCTGTGCATGACGATTGAATTTAGTACATGAATGGTCTTGAAATGGACTGGGTGCACCAAATCATTCTACAGGCAGATGTGGAAAGCTGTATAAACATGTAAAGTCGCAACCATCATTTTTGTTGGTCAAAGACCTGCATACATATGCTGACTACTCCCCATTTTGTGCTGCTTGTCTCCACCATTTCGCGGGTGATGTTTCTGCTACAAGGACAGTTCTGGGGAATCAAGGTTAGTGCTGCCACCTTCCACTTGAGAAATGTTGATCGGATGAATTACCAGAAAGAATTTTGGGGAAGAGTGGGGCGTTGGCAAGTTTCATGAAAAAAATAAGTTTAGAGTGACGAGTTCACTCTTGCATCCCTTCGCAATTCTTCCAATTCCGCACAGGGAACGCCCTCAACTCCAAGATCTTGGACTGGCCAGTGGAACATTTCTGGCAGCATACCATTAGAGGAGTGCTGAAAAACAAATGGATAAGGCCCTTAAACCCATGTCGATCCCTTTAGTTGGATGACTTCCCAGTATGACGATTTTTGGGACCAGCATTTGCCCAATTCATAGGATACCAGCAAAGCATCTACAGGAAAAAAACCTGGCAAGAAAGCACACACGAAACATCAGCATCAAATCATGACTATAACAGTAAGCTATACTCCCCAGAACCATCCATTTACCATCCATTTATCATTTTTTTTGGGTTTTTATCATGCGTCCCCAGCCCAGCATCCCCAGAATTTTGCCCGGATTTTTCTCGGTATCAAGGCCATCAAAGGCTTGCTGATGGGAAAAGACCTGAGTACCGTCTCTTTGAAGGCCGAATGGTGTCCCAATGGGACACCCCAATGGTGTCCCAATGGTGTCCCAATGGTGCCATCCAAATTACCCGTGCTGCTGATGGGGTTTATCTTTTTTTTGGGCCGGGGTGTTAATAGTGACTGTAAAAGAATGGGATATACCTCTGATGGCTGGTTGGTTTTATTTTGTTGATCTTTCTGCTTCAAGTGACTTTTTATCAGATATGGGGATATAACTATAATATAAGTGATAAATGATGATGAATGGCGGTTGATTGTTTAATCAGAATCTGTTGTGTGTTACACCACCTGCTTTGAGAGGGATACTGTAGTTTTTTTTTTCTACAGGAACTCAGCCCTTGGGAACAGTATTATATAATGGAATCCCAGAGGTTGGATTGGTTAGGTCTGTAATACAATGTATACCATCTGGTTATGACTAACAGTTTGCCATCAAAAATCACCATGCTATTAATAGGTAAACCATCTATTTCAATGGGCCATCTATACCATGGCTATGTTAGTCATAACCAGATGGTAGTTGTTCTGATTCCATACCCAAAGAATTGCAGTAGAGCCATGCCCACATTTTTTTTGTCACGTCGGAAGTCAGGCTCTGCGGCTGGATCTTGAGAAGAGCTGCTTGGCGCACGCACCAATGGTTTGAGGACCCTTCCTTTATTTTTTGGCCGCGAACCAATGGAATCTGCTGGAAGATCCAAAATCTGAAGTAAATTGAATTAGTTATAATGAGTCCATTCTCAGGTTAGAATACCGTGAGAATTTCAGATCACCAATCCTATACCTGACAATTGAAGACAGTTGAAGACAAAAAAGACAGGTCTCAATAATCCAATACATCTCCAGAAAAAGAGAAGACTTTCCCACCAAGCAAAGTCAAAAAACAATGTGTATTTGACCACCGGGGATCTATGCGGAAACTGATGATTCACCATCGCGATTTTTCGCGTGGAACGTAACAACAACCCATGGGTTAAGATGGGTTTTCCATATATTTTCCATATATTTTCCATATATTTTGCCCATAGAATTCATTTAGAACGCCGCATTTCTATGGCTTTTTCTATGGCTTAAGATCTCCATGTCGGATGTCTTCATCCTCCTGAGGTTTCCATCTCTCAGTTGGCGGCTTGGACAGCCGCAAGGGTGAGATTCGCCAGCTGGCGCAGGATTTGGCTCCTCGGTGGATGGGGATCATGTTGACCCCGGATGAATAAACCCTGGTTTATTACCCTCTGGTAATGACTAACATAGCTGAAAATGGTGATTTATAGTGGATTTTCCATATATGTCCATATTAGTTCCATTATATATATATATGTATGTCTATAAATGTCCAAATACTTTGGGGTCTTATCCCACTTAGTAAGTAGGATATAACCCTAGTCATAAGTGGATTAACCCTACTTATCCCACTGTTAATCAGGGATATAAACTACTTAATGGGATGAGCCACCAAGTAGTGATGAATAGTGG